TAAAAAACTTTGAATTTATAGTCTGATTGTCATTGAGAAATATTATTATGGTGATATATTTGATGAACACCTGTAGGCTATTTCATCATAATCTCTCTCTCTCTCTCTCTCACTCACAAACATTGCGATATGTATAATAAAGATCACAAAAATATGGACATTTAGGCGATAAATTAATCGGAGGTATTTAAAAACCACGTACAGCTATATGATTATAATCTGGGTTAATCGTAAAGTGTGCTACAGTACATACATGTATCAAATAACAGCCCTCACACACTTAACAAATATCATTTTGAGTTAACTTATCATCATTTATTTTATTCACTGATTATAAATAAATATAAATAAAAATAAAGTTATCTTTTATAAAAAATTTTTTTACTTTCTTTAAACAAATATAAACAGAATTTTTTAGTTAAAAAATATTTTTTATAAAAAAACTATAAATTCATTGAAATATAATATTGTGTAGCAAAAAGTGTCTTTGAATTCAGAAAAAAAAATTTTTATACAAATATTTAGCAAATAATCTTCACTTTCATTAGCCATCTTTTACCCATCATTGACGACTAGACTACCCGTCCCATAGCAGGCGTGTGCCTATGGTTTTGAAAGCCAGTATATAAAGGCCCGCATCTGGACAAGTATTTTTATTTTTCATTCAACCATCACCAGTTAACCAGTGCTTTATTAATTAGCTTTCTAGCTAGGATTAATTATATTTCTCAACATGTTGAAGGTATGAATAAATTTATTAAAAATTTCATGTCATTTTTATTTGATTAATTGATGTAAGTAATTAATGATGAAGTGTTTAATACTGTGTTCAATGTTTAAATTTCTGTTACAAGTTTAATTTAATTTATAGCTAAAAATAATATAAACTAATTTTACAAAGTATTAGTTAATTAGGTTCGAGACTGTTATTCCACTTAATATCTTATAGTTCAATAAATAATTAACCTAAACACAATTTAACTCACTCAATACAGCTTATAACTAAGCTATTAAATCATTATAAAGTTAAATTCAAAATTTAAAAACTTAATTACTCATAATTTTATTGCGCCCACAATAAATTAAATTAAAAACAAATAACTAAATTAACCCTAATTAAACACTATACATTACAGTTCGTAACCCTATCGCTGGTGCTGGCCGTAGCCAACGGGCAATACATACTGAGCAATGGCAACAACCTGAACGGCCAGCGACTGATCGCCAGCAACGGCAACGACAACACACAGTACATACTAGTCCAGGCGCAGCCCCAGGAGGACGCCCACGTTCACTACCAGCCCTATCTGCAACGTCAGGCCTACTCCATCCAACCCCAACGTATCGTAACCCAAGCGGCGCCCCGTATTATCCAAGCCCAGGCACCCAAGCCTATCGTATTGAGAGCCCCGGCAGCCCGTGTGGTGGAGGAACAGTACGGCCCGGCGGAGCCATACACTTTTGGTTTCCAGTCCAGCGATGAGCAGGGTAATCAGCTTAGTCGATCAGAGACTTCCGATGGATCAGGCGCGGTTAGAGGCAGCTACTCGTACACCGATGCCAATGTATGTATATGTTTGTGCCATGTTGTAATAACCAAGCTTGTTTATTTTGTAATAATTAGTAAGCTGTAACTTTGCAGTAATTTTTATATAGAAATTGTAGAAGTATTTACCATGTTCTTATTTGGTGTCAAGCGGCAGACTCTAATATTCAATTAATTAACAAATTAATTTTTTAAAATAATTTTCATTAGGGTCTGAACCGTATCGTTGAGTACGTGGCCGATGCCGGCGGTTACAGAGCCACCGTTAAGACAAATGAGCCTGGTACTGCCAATGCCAACCCAGCTGATGTCCAGGTACATTTAAATTAATATAATCATGGCAATAAATATTTTCAGTAATTAAACTTACATTACTGACATAGATCAACGCTGAGGAGCCCCCGTCAGCCGTCCAGCAAATAGTGGCCGCCTATTCAACCCCTAAGGCTCGCCTCCAAAACTAAATTGTACATGATCAAATTGCACAACATTTAAAATTGTTTATTCTGGTGTACACATTCCAAACATATCACCCTGGTCAAAATTATTAAAGCACTTTCACTGGTGATGGTCACAACGTTTTTACAGTCATATTTGCTCTCCCATACCCCCAGCATCCATACACATCCCTCCCTCTCCTCCTGTAAACGAGCTTAGCACATTTTTACAAAATGTCAATTTTTAATACACCTTGATGCAATTTAATTAGTTATTTTGACAAAATTATATAAAATCGATGAATGAATTTATATGTAAATTAATTAATGAAAAATAATATTTTAAAAACATTTGTTTAATCGCTATAAAAAATAAAATAAAGTTTATTTTAAAAATGCCCAAATTTCACATGTTATATTTATTTATAATTAAGTTTGAGAATGTAGAAAAATTTATATATTATTAATTTAATAAATCTTTATTTTATCGTAATTAATTTGCAATTTTAATATTATATTTTTTTAAATATTTTTCATAATATACATTATTATATTCTGTATTTTAAAAATATAAAAATTAAAAGTATTATATATTATAAATGAATATACCAAAAATCATCTTCTTTAAAATAATTAACTATGCAAATAATT